GCCCGCCACAACGCCTGGCCATTTTTTGGTTGCAGCCATCATTGTTGTTTGGCGGGCCCGGGCTGGGGATCCGAACCCGCCACCTTAGGTGTATGTGGCTGGCGCCTTAGCCGCTTGAGCCACAGGCGCCGAGCCAGCAATGGTCATTTTTTAAAATACAGACTTTCAGTCAGGTGTGGTGGCTCATCCCTGGATCCTAGCACTCTGGGAGGCTGAGATGGGTGGACTACCTGAGCATAGTCATTTGAGACCAGCCTGAGCAAGAGCTAGACCCCAAATCTACTAAAAATAAAAAAACTAGCCAGCATTGTGGCAGATGTCTAAAGTCCGAGCTACTCGGGAGGCTGAGGCAAGGGGATTGCTTAAGCTCAGAAGTTTGAGGTTGCTATGAGCTATGACCCAGGGCACTCTGCCCAGGATGAGAGAGTGAGATTCTGTCTCAAAAAAATAATAAAATAAAATACAGCCTTTCCATTTTCCATTAAAGCAAAAATTAGCCTTAAAGCCCACAAGGCCAGCATTTTTCCGTATGTGTCAGAGACCCTCCATGCATACCTACTGACTGACACACAGTACGAAAATTAATAATGAAGGAGTTTTTCTTGGTAAATAAGAGATAAGCCTAATAAAACTCCATTTAGGAGGAAACACCAAGAAATTAGTATAGATTGAAGGAGACCAAGGAAGCATGGAAACTAAATATATGTAGGAGGCCGTACTGGCTCCTGTAATGAAAAAATGACACTAGCAAAACAATTAATGAAATTTACAGAGCTGTGTAATGCCAATACTCACTTCTTAGTTTTGAGAACTATACCATGGTTTATGTCCAGCTAGGACTGTCAGGAGGCAAGTGAGGCTCCTAGGGGCACAGCTGGCACAGGCAGCCCCTTTTGGCAAGTGCAGGGTCAGCATCTGAGAGGGAGCTCCTCCCTCGGTTCTGTGCCACAGGCGCCTTGCGTGGTTCAGCCTAGTCACTGCCTTTACTATGTGAGATGTTAACAGAAGAGCAAGACAGCCACAGCTCTTCTACAAATTTAAAATTACTTAAAAATAAAAAAAGAAAAAAAAATAAAGTTACTTAAAAATAAAGTTTTAAAAAGCTCTATTTACCCAGGTTCAAGGTTGCTCACTCCTATAATCCTAGCACTTCGGGGTACCAAGAAAGAAGGATCACTTGACACTAGGAGTTCCAGACCAGCTTGGGCAATGTAATGAGACTAGGTCTCAACAAAAAAATTTTTAAAATGAGCTGAGAGTGGTGATGTGTGACTATAGTCCTAGGTACTTGGGAGGCTGAGCCAGGAGGATCCCTGAGCCTGGGAGTTGGAGGTTGTAGCAAGCTATATGATCACGCCACTGTGTTGTACCCTGGGGTTGAGGAGGGACCATACCTCAAAAATAAATAAATAAAAATAAAATTAAAAAATAGATAAAAGCTAAACATTTCATTCCCTTTAGCTTTTATCCTTAGGTTGTTACCTCCTGAATATATAAACTATAGAGTAATACAGTAATAATATTACTTTAGGGATATTTACTAAAAGAAAATTAGAAGCACATTCAAAGGACAACTAAGCCTGCGGCGAATTGTGCTGTATCAGCACAGTAATGGGAAGACCTAGACGAGGAGTCACACGATCTAGCAGTAAATCCTACTCCAGAGCCTATGACTTTTGACTTAAATACCCAGTGATCTATGAGATCTCATGTATCCTGAGTAGTCATAGGTCAAAGAAGGTAATAATAATTCCTGCCTTTCCTTCCTTCCTTAGTTATAAGTACGATCAAAGGTATGAAGTACTTGTTCATAAGCTGAAAACCATTGCACAGAGTTACTTATGCTATTTAAGTAAATTTGTGCTAATTGTTTTTATTGATTTTTAAGTATTACTCCAAATCAATTTCTTGTTAAGTCTCATTCAATGTCTGTTAAATATCTAGACTGTACCAATGGAAAAATACTGCTAGAAGTGTATGGCTTTCCAATGTTTAGAACCAACATTATCAAGATCCTCAGAAAATCCTGGTAATGAGGACCAGCTGGCAGGCAGAAATAATCTTCAGGAGAGATACTGTCCCCTAACACTGGTTTCTTGGTTTCTTTTCTACTATGCCTTTTCTGTGTAACATTTAATAAATGTTGGATGCATACGCATCTTTGGGAGAACAAAAACAGAAATAAACTCCATAAGTCTTACTTTTAACACTTGACAGCAGCACTGTAAAAATGTTTCTAGATCAATCACGTGCTCTACAACTTCAGAAGCTACAACAGCATCAAATGTTTCTGCAGTCTCTTCCACAATCTCTTCCAGGGAACAGGCTCTGTACTCTATCCTCTTATCCAGGACTGGATCGAATGATTTATGGCGCTGTGCTGTTTTAATGTTCTCATCCACAGGATCGATTCCAATAACTGAAGCCCCAAGCCTACCTAGAGGCTAATCGCATAGAAAACTGTTATTCTCAGGAAGAAAACAGAACATGTTAGCAATCAAAGTTTATCCAGGGCGGCGCCTGTGGATCAGCGGGTAGGGCACCGGCCCCATATACCAAAGGTGGCAGGTTTGAACCTGACCCTGGCCAGCTAAAACAGCAATGAGAATTGCAACAAAAAATAGCGAGGCATTGTGGCAGGTGCTGGTAGTCCCAGCTACTTGGGAGGCTAAGGCAAGAGAATCACTTAAGCCCAAGAATTGGAAGGCACAAGCCCACTTCTTAATTGTTTTTCCCCAGGTAAAATGGTAAGAAAGTTAAGTCACTTACTTCAGTTAACAATCCACCACCACAGCCAACATCGAGAATCTTCATCCCAGACAAAGGTTTTCCTGGCTGATGATTAGGAATTGTTTTCAAAAGATTGTCTCTTTTTTTAAAAAGCCAAAACATAAAAAAACACAAATGATTAATTTTATCAGTGAAAAATCTTAAAAGTATATCATTTTTGAAGAAATATTAACCCCCATTTTAAATGGATAATGGATTTTTGTATAAATACATCTTTTATTCCCAGCATTAAGTGACTTATATTTATAAAACATTTTATATTAAATTTATAAAACATTGTCAATAATCAAAAGCAGGAAGCTGAGTAAAACTCTGAAATAATCTAGTAGTAATTATGACTTAATTGCTTTAGCAATAATACAAGGAAAAAGAAATTTCTTTTTTTTTTTTTTTTTGAGACAGGAGCCTCAAGCTGTCCCCCTGGGTAGAGTGCCATGGCATCTCAGCTCACAGCAACCTCCCACTCCTGGGCTCAAGCGAGTCTCCTGCCTCAGCCTCCCAAGTATCTGGGACCACAGGCGCCCGCCACAACGCCTGGCTATTTTTTGGTTGCAGTCATCATTGTTGTTTGGCGGGCCCGGGCTGGATTTGAACCCGCCACCTTGGGTGTATGTGGCTGGTGCCTTAGCCACTTGAGCCACAGGTGCCGAGCCAGGAAAAAGAAATTTCAAAATAATCTAGTTTAGATTCAGTGAAGTTTATTTGCACATGACACATGATAGCCTACTGGCTATGTTATCAGCACTTGCTAGACCCACTCCACGTCAGCAGCAAATAGGTTATTTTACAGATGGAAGAAGGTGGGAGACATACATTTTCAGAATTTGTTTATATTCCCTTCTGAAGTGAATCCCTTTTAATCTCTGTTAGTAGTGTTTTCATGTATGAGCATGTACACAGGCACTTGAATCAAGTGAACTTAACTCTAAGACAATCATAGTAATGAAACCACCTGTATTAAAGTAATGTAAGGTCACAAGGCAAGAACTGTGGTGAAGTCAGATATCTCAGAAGTACAGACATAGCTAGAAGTTAACTAGCCATTGTTTCCCAGCTTGCATTCCTGTAACTGCGTACCGCTTAAGAGTCACCTCTCTTTGGTGCAAGATTTGTAACTTCCCTAGAAGCTTCTATGGATAATATTACTATAATAAAACCTAAGACTGGTCTTTGAGATATCTTCCAGACTCTGCATTCAGCGAAACCAACTGACACCAACCAGACCACGGCCATGCCAGAGAACTGACACAGCAGGTCTTGTGATCCTCTGTCCAGGAACTGTCTCAGCCAAGAAGACCCTTTGAGTTCATTCCCAGGCAATCAGCAGACCCAATTACCTCGTCTTTTGTGTGCCAAACTACCTTCAAAAACCTTAACACCCCAAATTCTCAAGGAGACAGATTTGAGAAATTTTGCCTAGTGCCCTGCTGTAACTTCTGCTGTCTTAGTATATTAGTTCTCTCCCGGGCAGCAGGCAAGGAATTTTGTTGGATAGTAACAGTAATACTTTACTACACACACAAACATCTGTACACATACATACAAACGAGCAGGCCTTGTCATCATTTCTACATGATTGAGGCCTGACTCACTTTACGGAGTTCTATCCAGGTCTTTCTTTTCCTTGCTCACAAAAGACTTCACACTTGGTCTCACAAAATGGAACTGTTTAAAGGCTTTTTCATATAGGCCTTCCGCCTATAATATATACCTAACAGTATCATAAACTAAACTTTTAAATTGGGCTATTTGTGAATTTTAGCTATACTTACATTAAAATAAATATTACATGTAATGAGAGTATCTTAGGATACCTCTTCTTACTATTAAAATTAATTTAACTTTAAGAATAACATGAATAGTGGTTAAACAAATCACTTTCGAAAGTTATGCAGAAAGGATCCATTTCCAGTGAAGTCTGATGCGTCATTCTTCAAACAGCACCCAAATGATTCCTTTGTAATACTGTAAATTAGATTATGTATTACGGCCTAACCACTGAGGGACAGGCACCAAGCCAAAATACAGAATTTTGAATCTAGGTGTAACCCAAGAGAAACATGCAGGCAAAAGAAAATGAATTCTCAAAAAGTTACATTTTATAAGACTTCAAGTTTCTGGAACGTTACCTAATAAATGGAACCCTCAAGTCATTCATAGAATGAAGAGGCGCATATACTCCTTGCTCATCCCACCACTTGTGAGCCAGGACCAGGAAGGTTTTTATCTCACTGCTGTCCACAGTGGTGTGTGAAGTACTGTACAGTCTCGTCCAAGGGTACCTAAGAGGTAAAAACAAAGAGACAAGCAAATATTGCTTTTTAAAAAATGGAACGTGGGGGCAGTACCTGTGGCTCAAGGAGTAGGGCACTGGCCCCATGTACCGGGTGTGGTGGGTTCAAACCTGGCCCCAGCCAAAACAAAAAAAAAACAACAAAAAACCAACAATGGAGCATGGGTTATATTACAGAGAAAGATATTCTTATTTACAATTTGTTAGAGTCTACATACATATATTACTCTATTGTGATGCTTTAAAACTTCTTATAATCACATTCCTTATGAATATGTATATATATATATATATATAAAAACAGTGAGACAAAACAAAACTAATTTGTTTTTAAAGTAAGTTTCAATTCAAAATGGAACTTTATAAAACGTGGCCTTCTGGGTTGCATCTACCAATAGTAATGACAGCTGCCAGTTAGTGAGCACTTAGTAAATGCCAGATATTGCTTAACACACGCTGACAGTCATGAGTTACCCGGTAAGATGGATAGATTCTGCAAAAATTGCCAGTTAATGATATGTTAAGAACTCTGCTTATATCATCTCACTTAATGCTTCTGAGAACTCTACAAGGAGGGTACTATTGTTATCCCCGCTCTATAGGTAAGGACACAGTGGCTCAGGATTTGAGCCCAGGTGTCTCCATCTCCTTCACTGCATTGCTACTACTGTACCCTAGTCCAGGCTTCCATTACCTCTTGCCTAAACTACTGTCCTAGCCTTCTAATTGGTCTGGCTGCTTTCTACCTCATCCCCTTCCAGTCTGTTCTCCATGACGCATCCAGAATGAAATTCTAAAATACAAGTATCTCCGTTTACTTTCCTACACAAAAAGCTTCCATGACCCAGTAACATTAGAAAAAATACAAAAATCCTTAGCATGACGAACAAAGCTCCAAATTATTCTGTCCCCAGTTTCCTCCCTCTCCAAACTCACTTCCCACTGCCCTTCTCGTCCTCCCAGCCCAGCCACACAGGCCTTCTTTCAGGTCTTTGAACTTGCCGTGCTTGTTCTTCTCCCAGGGACTTTATATATGTTGTGCCCTCTGTCGGAACATTCTTCCCACAAATACCTGATTGATTCCTTCTCACCTTTCAGACCTTAGCTTAAATGAATGTTAACGGGTGTTTTTTCGTTGTTTGTTTGTTTTGAGATGTGGTCTTGTTATGTCACCAGAGCTAAAGTGCAGAGGCATGATCATAACTCACAACAACCGCAAACTCCAGGGCTCAAGCAATACTCCCACCTCAGTCTCCAGAGAAGCTGGGACTATCGGTGCATGCCACCATGCCAGGCTAATTTATAAGTAATTTTTTTTGTAGAGATGGGATCTCATTATTGTCTAGGCTGGTCTCAAACTCCTGGACTCAAGTAATCCTCCCATTTCAGCCTCCCTAAGTGCTAAGATTACTAGAGATGTGAGCCGTTGCACCTAGCCAAGCTCAGTGTTATACAAGAATTATTCTCTGATCCTCAAAACTAGGTCATAGCCCCGTGTTTAAACCCTATACATTTATACTTCTTCACTTGGCTATGTGATTACTTGCTCATGTCTGTCTCCCTACCAGACCAGAAGCCCCATGAAGGCAAGCATGCACTGTCCTGCTTACCATTTTATTCCTAGCTACTAGTACAGTTCCTGGAACATAGTTGGTGCTCAGGAAACATTTGTCAAATAAATAATCTGAAGGAAAATGCCCAGAAAATTATATAATTTCCCTGAAAACAATTTTGTTTTTTGTTTTTTTTTGAGACAGGGTCTCACTATGTCAACCTTGGTAGAGTGCTGTGGCGTCACAGCTCACAGCAACCTCAAACTCTTAGGCTTAAGCCATTCTCTTGCCTCAGTCTTCCAAGTAGCTGGGACTACAGGCGTCCGCCAAAACACCCAGCTATTTTTTTGTTGCAGTTGTTTAGCTCGACCAGGCCAGGCTCGAACCTGTCAGTTTCAGCGTTTGTGGCTGACACCGTAACCACTGTGCTATGGGCACCCAGCCCTGAAGACAATTTTTAATCAAATAAGGAGACTAAGGGGTTAAACAGACACTACCCTGGCCAGGCATGGTGGCTCAGCCTGTGATCCTAGCACTCTAGGAAGCCCAGGGAGGATCACTTGAGCTCAGGAGTTTAAGACCAGCTTGACCTAGAGTGAGACCCTGTGTCTACTAAAAATGGAAAACATCAGCCAGGCATGGCCTAGGAGTTTGAGGTTGCAGTAAGCTACACTGATGCCGCTACAATGATGCCACTGCACTCTAGCTAGGGCAATAAATTAAGATTACAAAACAAACAAACAAAAAAACCAGAGTACACTGATTTCCATGTCATAGTACAGTGTAAAAAAATCCTCAAAGTTCTGTGCGGGCAAAAGATAATAAGGACATTAAGTTAGAAAGGGCAATGCCTTTCAAACTGTTACTATGTTATTTTTAGCTACACATGGAGAGTATGTTCTATATTCATTACTTTTTATTCTTTTAAAATTCAAATGTGATTCACCTTTAATATTATCTTAGGAATATTAGCCTTCTTTTCTATGCTTCATGCAAAGCTTCAGTAATTAAGGACTAATTTACTAAAGATAACAGTCAGTGGTTGCTCACTTGACTAAGACTGACTTCGTATACACTCACTCTCAAAGGAGATCTTTCACAAGAGTTAGAAGCATACACTTAGAGTTCAAGTCCTAATTAATTCTATGTAATATTTTTCACAAGATTAGAAATTAGTCTATAAAATACAAAAAGACATTAATTTGATTCAATCTTATTACAAAGGGTATATACTTACTACCTTATCATATTTACATTGTAGCTAAATCATTTATGATTTCAAGTACTGCATTATTTGTGTCTCATCATAGGGATATTCTGAGGAAGTAAAAACACTTCTCAAATAATATAGTCTTATATTAAAAAGAAAAGCTATCTCTGAATCTGGATGACAGCCATATACTGGTTGTATATTGTATTATTCTATCACCTTTTCTGTAGGCTTGAAATTTTCTGAATTTAATAAGTGTTAGAAATAACTTAGTTATGAATATTTAAATAAATAAAACCTACTTTAATCAAACCACATGAGCTATTACATACTAACTGGGCTTATTAAACATAATTAATGCTAAACTATTGCATATAATTATGTAAATCTTTGCCACAGTAATAAATGAAACTCACCTGCATTTTTTCATTCTATTCACATAGGAAAAGGTCATCCTACAGGATTTGAACCACATGGCTCTATATTCGTTGAAAACTCTTGGTTTAATTTGTAGAGTCCAACAGAGCAGATTCTTTGAATAAACTGGAAAAAAAATTAAATATCTAGAGAAAAGGATTGCACAGTAAGAAATTATATACTTGTACTTGAATAATTTTTACATAGACATCTATGTTAGATTGCAATTAATAAGCAAAAGGTTTTTCTTTTAAACTTAATTTTGGATTTAAAAATAAAGGTCTTACATTTTACCATCTAATTTGAACCGAGACATTTCCAAAATTATAATTAGCAAAAACAAGTAATGCATGAGTATAAACTTTCCATGCTATTAGTTTTTGTATCTATATTATGTTGCAAAAAATTTAAAAGAATGATATTCAATGTAAATCATTACCTTTTAAACTAGAATAGTATTAATTCTAAGACTGTCAAAACTAGTTTGAATTCTGTCGATGCCATGCTAACTATATGAAGTGGATTTTTACATATACTCAACATCCTTTGCAGGGAGAAAATGTGTATAAATACAATATCCTAAAAAAACATTCACCCGGTATGTAGTTCAAACTTACATAACTGCTTTCTGAACCAGTTGCTCTGCTGTAGAACGCTCAGTTATTTAACTAACATTTAGGCAGAGCAGACTTTAGAGTAAAGAAAGGTACGAGAAACAAAGAGGGACATTATATCATGATAAAGGAACAATCCACTAAGAAGACAAAGCAATCCTAAATGTGTATGCACCAAACAATGGAATTTCAAAACACATGAAGGAAAATAATAATAATAATGATAAACACAACAAAAAGATTAAAAAAAAACAAAAGAAAAGAAAATATAGGAAAAAAATTAAAGGAATTGAAAGGAGAAATGAACAAATGAATAACTGAAAATGAACAAATGAAAATCAGCAAGGACAAAAAAAGAACTGAACACCATCATCAACCAATAACATCCACTTAAAATGTATAAAACATTCCACCTAACCAACAACAGAATATATATTCTTTCAAGCATGCATAGATCATATCCTGGGACATAAAACTAATCTTGACCGTCATTTTCTTCCTTGTCTCTCTTATTAACTTAGCTCCTTTAAAAAGTTTTGGGGGGATCAGTGCCCATAGCACCGTGGTTACAGTGCTAGCCACATACACTGAAGATGGCAGGTTTGAACCCAGGCCAGGCCAGCTAACCAACAATGACAGCTACAACAAAAAATAGCCGGGTGTTGTGGTGGGCACCTGTCATCCCAGCTATGTGGGAGGCTGAGGCAACAGAATTGCTTAAGCCTAAGAGTTTGGGGTTGCTGTGAACTGTGATGCCATGGCATTCTACCAAGGGTGACATAGTGAGACTGTCTCAAAAAAAAAAAGTTTTGGGGGTGGGGGCAGAGCAAGATGGCAGACCAGAAGGATCATTCAGCTGAGCTTTCTTTTTTTTTTCTGAGACAGAGCCTCAAGCTGTCGCCCTGGGTAGAGTGCCCTGGTATCACAACTCACAGCAACCTCCAATTCCTGGGCTCAAGCGAGTCTCCTGCCTCAGCCTCCCAAGTAGCTGCGACCACAGGCGCCTGCCACAATGCCTGGCTATTTTTTGGTTGCAGCCATCATTGTTGTTTTGGTAGGCCCGGGCTGGATTCGAACCCGCCACCTTAGGTGTATGTGGCTGGCGCCTTAGCCACTTGAGCCATAGGTGCTGAGCCAAGCTGAGCTTTCATAGAATGACTGGGGAAAAAGAGAGAATCCAGCCATACCTGGTGTGGGGACCTTACCCAGAGTCATGGCTCAGGGAGCACAGTGAGGAGGCGGTGAACTGGATACAGCATATGATCCTGAGCAGTAGAAATCTGATGAATTATGCAAGTGATTGAGACCCCTTGGGATTGGCTGGCTGCTCACAGAGGTCCTGGACAGGAAGGAGCCTTTCTGGAGTTTTTAGTTGTTGGGAGAAGCTATGCATTAAGTGGAAAACTTGGAAGAGTGGGTGGATACTTGAATAGTATACAGTAACCAGGTTTGAATGCCAGTTGGAGAGGACTTTGGTGGCTGGTGAGGCTGCCATACTAAGAAGTTCTGGGTGGCCAGGGGTTTGCCATTGTGGGAGGGTTGGGGCCTAAAGCACAGCCATCCTAATTCTGCCTGCCAGGATCAGAACTCCACTCTTGGGACAGGCTGAGGGACTCCTGCACCCCATGGGAACTGGAAAGTCTTCCAGGGACACTGTGAGACTTGCCCCTGAAGGATTCTTGTGAGCTTTAAGATCCTGACCTGTAGCTCTGTGCCCATAGCTCAGTGGTTAGGAAGCTAGCCATATACACCAGGGCTGGCAGGTTCATTGCTAAACAATGACAACTACAATAAAAAAATAGCCGGGCATTGTGGCAGGCACCTGTGGTCCCAGCTACTTGGGAGGCTGAAGCAAGAGAATCACTTGAGCCCAAGATTTTGAGGTTGCTGTGAACTCTAAAGCCACAGGGCAACATAATGAGACTCTATCTCAAAATAAATAAATAAATAAATAAATAAATCCCAACCCAACAAGTCTGAATGCTGCAGAAACAATTAGGCAATCACTGAAGGCAACTAAGTTTGGACTAAGGACCACAGAGGTTGCTGGCTGTGCTGTCTCCTAAAAAAACCACAGTGCTATCTGGTGGTCCAGCAACATACTGCAACATATTGTCATCAAAACCAAGGACTTTTGTTTGAAACAAAGGAGGCAGTGAGAAGGAGAAAGGAGGACAAGGAGGCAAACAAGAAGAAAGAACACATGAGGAGGAACCAATAGAAAAATTTGGGTAACATGAGAAACCAGAACAGAGGAACTCTCCCAAGGGACCATGAGGCAGCTACTGCAAAAGGCTCCACCTACAAAGAATTAATGGACTTGACAAAAGGGAATTTAAAATATGGATGATTGGCTTGGCACCTGTAGCTCAGTGGTTAGGGCACTGACCACATATACTAAGGCTGGTGGGTTTAAACCTGGCCCAAGCCTACTAAACAACAATGACAACTGCAGCAAAAAATAGCAGAGCATTGTGGCAGGCACCTGTAATCCCAGCTACTTGGGAGGCTGAAGCAAGAGAATTGCTTAAGCCCAAGAGTTTGAGGTTGCTGTAAGCTGTGATGCCATGACACTCTAAGGAGGGCAACATAGTGAGACTCTGTCTCAAAAAAATGTATATGGATGATAAAGACAATAAAAGGAGAATGGACAAGAAAATGGAAAGATAGAACCAAAAGCCAGACAAGAGATACGTAGAATATAGAAGGATATGGAGGACTTTAAGGAAATGAAGGAACGATCAGGGAATGTAAAGATACAGTAGAAAGTATCAAAAAAGATTAGATCATGGAGAATAAAGAACCTCAGAGATAGAGGATAAAGTTTTCAAGTTACCTCAAGTAGTTACAGAGGCAGAAAAGAAGAGAGAGAAAGCAGAACAAGCACTTAGAGAACTACAAGACTCCATGAAACATTCAAACATATGAATAATTGGGATTCCTGAAGGGGACGAAGATTGTCCCAAAGGAATGGAAGTCCTACTAGAGAATATCATAAATGAAACCTCCCCAAGTTTTACTAAATATTCCTAAATGTATTTACTAAATACACTCCTTTCAGATTGATATTGAACCCCAGGTCATCTCAACTCAAACAGAGTCACTCCAAGATACCTTGTAATGAACCTGTCCAAAGTCAAGATGAAAGAAAAAATTCTGCAAGCAGCCAGGAGTAAGTGCCAACTGACCTACAGAGGCAGAGCCATTAGGATGACAGTAGACTTTTCAACTGAAACCTTCCAAGCCAGAAGAGTGTGGTCATCTACCTTTAACATTCTTAAACAAAACAATTTTTAGCCCATAATTCTGTATTCTGCTAAACTAAACTTCAAAACTGATAGAGAAATCAAATCTTTTTGTGGATATACAAGCACTGACGAAATTCGCTACAAGACCAGCTCTAAGGAAATATTTAGACCTATTCTCAACACTGACCACCACAATGGACCACCAGCAAAGTAAACACCCAGAAGCTAAAGGTCAAAATTTAACTTCCACAATGACACAATGGATAAAACTACACAATGGACTTTCACAAATAAGATGACTAGAACTCCAGCACACTTATCAATTCTCTCAATAAATGTCAATGGATTGAATTCACCACTGAAGGGGCAGAAGCTGGCTGATTTGATAAAAAAGCACAAGCCATCCCTATGCTGTCTCTAGAAGACATACCTAGCCTTGAAGGATAAATGGAGCCTAAGGGTTAAGGGATGAAAAACAGTATTTCAAGCAAATGGAAATCAAAACAAAGGAGGGGTTGTAATCTTATTTTCAGACACAAGTGGATTTAAAGCTACTAAAGTTAAGAAAGATAAAGATGGATACTTTATACTGGTCAAAGGAACAATACAACAAGAAGACATTTCAATTTTAAATACTTATGCACCCAGCTTAAATGCTCCCAGATCTATGAAACTGACCTTGATGGGTCCAAGCAAAATGATATGCTATAACACCATAATAGTTGGGGACTTTAACAACCCTCTGACAAACTGGACAGATCCTCTAAACAGAAACAAAACAAAGATAAAGGACTTAAACATGACCCTAGAACAAATGGGATTAACAGACATAAACAGACACACCATCCCAAAGCTAAGGAATATAAATTTTTCTCATTAGCCCATGGAATGCACTCCAAAATTGACCACATGTTAAGGTACAAATTAAACCTCAGCAAAATTAAAAGAATAGAAATTATACCTGTATACTCTGAGACCAGAAGGCAATAAAGATGGAACTCAACTATAACAAAACATTCACCCCTACTTAAGACTTAGAAATTAAACAACCTTATACTGAATGATAGTTGGGTTCAGGAAGAGATAAAAGAGGAAATTGTTACATTCTTCTGACCTAACAACAATGAAGACACAAGTCATCAAAACTGTGGGATAAGACAAAAGCAGTTGTAAGAGGGAAATTGATTGCATTAGATGCTTACATTTGAAAACCAGAGAGCACATCGGCAACCTCATGAATGAGATTATGGAATTGGAAAAAGAA